AATGGAAGCACCCCAAACCAAGGCCGAGTAGAGGTTCGATATTACGGAGTCTGGGGCACAGTATGCGATGATTACTGGGGAATAAGTAATGCTCACGTGATCTGTCACATGCTGAATTACAGCAAAGCTTTGACAACAGGCACAGCAAGTAAACCATGGAGTGGTCCTATATTACTGGATAATGTCTTATGTAGTGGGTTTGAAGATTCAATTGAGAACTGCTGGAAACGAAGTGTAGGTCAACATGACTGTTACCATGGTGAAGATGTTGTAGTGGCATGTGAATACGGACCAAGAGGTAAGCATATCAGTCAGCAATGTTATAATCTATCAGCAATTGATTTGCAACTCTTCGGCCCTCGGTCTTGAAAAAAAAAGATAAATATATGCGATTTTCTCGCAAAAACATTTTCTTGTTGAAAACGAGACGCCCTCAAGAACAGATATGAGGTTTTACTTAAGTTTAAAAGCAAACTGAAGCCGCTGCAAAGGACCACAGAGCAGCGGAAGATATGTAGCTCGTAGTTAAATCCTATCAAGAAATCGAGGAAGTTTTTTTCCCCCAGCTCCTTCAAGAGCGATTAAGCGATATAATAAGTAAATAAATGAATAAAGAAAGAAAGAAAGATAGAAAGAAACAAAGAAAGAAAGAAACCAATAAACAAAGAAAGAAAGAAAGAATACATCCATCCATCCATCCACTCATCCATCCATTTATCCATTTATCCATTTATCCATCCATCCATCCATCCATCCATCCATCCATCCATCCATCCATCCATCCATCCATCCATCCATCCGTCCGTCCGTCCGTCCGTCCATCCGTCCGTCCGTCCGTCCGTCCGTCCGTCCGTCCGTCCGTCCATCCATCCATCCATTTATATATATTAGTACATTTATTCATTTCTTTTTATTGGCATAGCCATATTATGTGGGGCTTGATGCTTAAACATTATAATTGCGTTACCTCAATTGCCCCTAATATCGATCGCCATAATCAAAGATTTGCAGTCATGACCTACATATTAAGAAAATTAAGAGGTAAACATGATTTGCTAAGTTTTAAAAGACCACGTTTTTTATTTATTTTGATTACCATTGTATCACATGACTTCAATTAAGATAGACTATAAGTTTTAGAGTATGTATTAATAATGCGATTGTACGTATAGCATGCAAATCTCAAATATTCCAAAAAGGCACAAAACAATTTCCCTGATTGCAATATCAATCTTGTATGACAAACATGTGATACTTTTACTGTTTTTCCCCAGCTTATCCAGATATCAATGTTCGATTGGTTAACGACAGCAGTTTTGCCCACGCTGGTCAGATACAAATGCGGTATTATGGCGTATGGAAGCCTGTTTGTGATGGGTATTGGACTAAAAGAGAAGCTAATGTTGCATGTAGAATGCTGGGATACAGTCAAGGTACTGCGCTTCCTGTTCGAGGATACCAAAATACAACTGGCGATGCATGGGGTACATTTATGATTTGCAATGGCACCGAGATGTCTATTGATAAATGTACACA